TACCAGTAGAGTGGCATCTTGGTACTCACGTGGAAAGAAGTAATGTCACAGAATTAGGGGACTCAAAAGAGGAGTCACAGAAAGCCATGGGAATTCTAAGATTCCAGGAAATTCATAATTCCCAAGTGCATTCAGAGGTCCTCAAAGGGACACAATTGCAGAGAAGCTGCGAAGCAGAAGCCAGACGAGCCTCTGTGGGCTGCAGGAAGAATGAATGTCTCCTTAGAGCTCCCAGGTCTCATCCCTAATGTGGTGCTCAATCATGGGAGCATATGTCTATTATGACACAGAGCAGCTCTACTAATTAGAAACTCTTCTGAGATAAATATTTTACCACCAAAATGTGATGATTTCTTTCCCCCATAGCATTTACATGTCTGGAAAATTTCTCAGCCCTAAAGGATTTCATGGGTTTTTACCCAAATGAATGATAATTGTATCCCATAAACCAGCCCTACCTTTCACATCCAGTTCAATTGTCACAATATGTATGTGATGGAGGAGTGAAACTGGAAAACATAAGCATCTATCAGCTTTCATAGCATCTGACTCTGTCTAAGCGTTTACTCAACAGATCTTTTCTGGGCACTGGCTACCACATGCTTTGAGGAAGTTATCATTGCCACTACCTCAGCCGTAATGAAAGATTTTATGTGTCTACAAATGCCACTTGAAAGTCACTATTCCCTCTTCCATGTTGACTCAAAGATCCAGTTCTCAATTGTCCACTAAAGTAAAGATGATACAATTAATGCCTGTTGAAGTAAAAATGATTCTAGTAAGGATAAAATTAGGCATGTGTGATAAACAGTAACCAGGAAAACAGAAATAGAACAGGTAGGCTATGAAAATGTTGATGCTTCAGTTCATTTCGAAGATATATCTTGTTTTTTGTTTTGTGTTTTTTAAGTCTCTGGAATATATTTGAAAACAGTTAACATCCTCATCATATAGTTATCAAACAAATTATAGGGGTTTTTTGTTTGTTTGTTTGTTTTTACTCTTTTGGGGGCTTGCCACCCAGCTCCCAAACAAATACACCCAGATTTATCCTTAATTATGAATGCCTAGCCTTAGCTTGGCTTGTTCCTAGCCAGCTTTTCTAATTTAAATTATCCCATTTCTCTTTAACTATGTTTTGCCTCTGGGATTTTAACCTTATTTTATTCTATATGTGTTTCTTCCCTTCTTACTCTGAGGTTGGTCGTGTGGCTGAGTGGCTGGCCCCTGGCGTCCTCCTCTCCTCCTCCTTTTCTTGCTCCACCTCTTCTTTTTCTCTTCTCTTATTTATTCCCTCTGCCTGCCAGCACTGCCTATTCCTCTTTCCTGCCTAGCCATTAACCATTCAGCTCTTTATTAGACCGATCTGGTGTTTTAGACAAGGAAAGTAACACAGCTTCACAGAGTTAAACAAATGCAACGTAAAAGAATGTAACATATCTTTAACTAATATTCCACAACAATAGTTAAATGCCTTTTGGTGTGTTACATGTGCAGTATACAATGGTAAAGATCACAAAGGCCCTTACATAAGAGTTCACAATGTAGGAAAGGACAGAAGCGTGACAACCCATCACCAAAGCATCATAATGCAGTTGGTAGAACCATGAAACTCACTGTTGTAAAATTACCACTTAGGATCATATAATGCTGCTTCACAGAAACCTCTTCACCAAAGACTTGGAGAGAAATGCCCAGAAGACTTGATCACAGGAAGTCTTAAGGATATAATCCACGTCCTTCTGATCATGGGTTTATCTTAAATATTCTAAAGGGAGTAGCTGTGTCCTCTTTCGTTAAGGAAGCAGTTTGAAAGCTCAGAGCTGATTTACAATGCAGTTCTAGTAAACAAGTGGACCCTGTGCTGTCTGTCTTGTCTGTTTATCTCACACCTCGATTCAAATAATTTTACCATGATTTTATTTGCTTATTGTTCTTTAGAAATTCCTCAGATCTTTTCACTGAGGATGTAATAAAAGGATCTGTTTGAACTTAATTAAATGTCCCCAGAAAGAAGCATAATGCTAACTAGAAATGCCTCTGTGACAGGCTTAGGAAGGGGCTGTGGACATAGGGAAGGCACTATAATGCCACTGACAGCATCATCATTAATATTAGCTGCAATAAATAACTATTCCAAAAACACAAGACAGCACTTTATAGTTGTAAGGTTCTTCCCAACTGTCTACTCTTTACAAACATCTTTCTTATCCTCACAGCAGCTCCATGAAGTAGATGTTAATGTCCCCATTGTATAGATAATGATAGTATTGAATCAGCTTGCTTTTTTAATAACAAAATGTCTAAGACTTGCAAGAGAAAGTTGTTTTTTTTTTTGCCCCTGAGATTCAGAATCTGCCTTCTACAAACCTGTGACAACATGGTATATCACAATGAGAGAGGCAGAGGAAACCAGTTCTCCTCATGGCCAGGAATTAAGAGAGGGAAACCAACGTTCCCCACTTCCTTGTGAGGGCAAGCCCCAATGACCTAGAGCCTCTCATTCCCTACCTCTTAAAGGTTTCCACCACTCCCTAACAGCACCAAGCTGAGGACATCCAAGCTTTTGACGCAGAAGCCTTCGGGGGCATTTAAGGTTCAATCAGTAGGAAAGATACAGATGATTATAGAAAGTTTAGAAGTTGTCCCAAGATGCCACATTGATGGTTTGATCAAGCATCACACTGTGGATGTATTGAATGTCACTTGAAAAAAACAGCTCTGAAAGGGGTATTGCCATTAGACTTACCCCAAGTGTCAAAAGCAAAGGGCATCATGATAAAAGAGCCAAAGATAAAAAGCTACAACGTCCTGTAAAGACAACTTGAGAGATTTTGCTAACAAAGTTACCTGAGAATGGAAAGGAGAAAGAGCCTCCCACTCCAGCCTTCCTGATGCACAGTGACGCCATCTGAGTTTACAGAGTAAAGAGGTTGAAAAGCTGCATGCCTCCTTCATGCACAGAGCATTACTTCCAATAGAAAGGAATTTCTCCCAACAGTTGTTTTGATCCCCATAGAGTAGGGAGTAAGAATCATTAGGAAAGAACATTATTAGAACCATACTATTTTCTTTAAATAGAATGAGGCCATAGGAGCAAGATTCCAGGGTTTTTTAAGGTCCCCTACAAATGATGGTAATGACGGAAGTGACTAAAATATTGACAGGGTAGTTAAGGTGATGTGAATGATAATAATAGCTGCTGGAAATTATTCAGCATGTCAATGCTAAAAACTGATGTGCTAATATTAGCTGTTATATTTAATCTCAGCCACTCAAGTAGACAATATTGTGCCCATTTTAGAGAATAGTTAACCAAGACTCAGGTTTAACAAGTTTCCAAAGGTTACTCAGCTACTCAGAAGCTGGAATTTGACCACAGTTCTGATCAGTACTGAGAGTGTGTGGCAGAGAGCGTCCACCATGTTTCCCACAGGGAAATCATTAGGTGCAATGCAGTCATCATTCTCGCCAACTACCTTTCTGTCTCGCCAGATAGCTGATTTGTAACAGAAGAGTGGTTGAGATTTTATTTTATCTCCTCTCTCTTCTGATGTGTGGTTTTAGGGAGTATAATGAATGGAGCGTGTGTGTGTGTGTGTGTGTGTGTGTGTGTGTGAGAGAGAGAGAGAGAGAGAGAGAGAGAGAGAGAGAGAGAGAGAGAGAGAGAGGGAGGGAGGGAGGGAGGGAGGGAGAATGCATGCACAGGCATGTAACTAAATGTACTTGCCAATTTGAAATCACATATTGGAAAGAGACAGCATGTAGATAAGAGACCCACTGCAGAAACAGACGTGATGATTAGACCCTGGAATTTCACCATCCTGGGCATGTGGTCTACTAGAACACGTCCGTTGACCTGTCTGTGTCCCTATGTCAGCATCTGTGTAACTGCATGTGGTTAGCTGTCAGCCCTCTTCCAGCCCTTCTCACCTTCGTGCTTTCAGAGCATTCAAGAAACAGAGATCACTGCGCATGCCAGCCCTCTCCTGGGGCGTCTATGTCCTGGAGATGAGGTGGCATGGCCACCACTAGTAGGCAAGGCTGCAGCCAGCTCTCTGATCCTCAAACAGCCTGGTATACAGGAATGCATGTTTTCCTGGTACCTAAGTCCTGGGCTTAGCCGGGCTACAGTTTCTTCACTCGGGCTACAGTTTCTTCACTCCAGGTCTGTCTATTAGTTTGCCATCTCAGCATGCAGGGGATTTCAGGAGTAAACATCCACACGGGCATCCTGTCACTTTTATGAGAATTTTCCTCCTGAATCCTGGTCTTTCAATCCAGGTCTAACTGCTCTTAGTGTGCTCTGTGGGTTAGTGAGATGCCTCAGCAGGAAAAGGCACTTGCCTGCAAATCTTACAACCTGTGTGTGATCCCCAGGACCTTACAATGGAAGGAGGGAACAACCCCCACCACGTCTGCAAGTTGTTCTCTTGTCATGCACATGTGCACTCTTCTACACACACACACACACACACACACACACACACACACACGCATGCACGCACGCACGCGCACACATACACACACACGCACACACACGCACACGTGCGTGAGTTACTCTTAGTTTCTGCTATGTGTCCGTGAATTCACCTCTTCTTTATCCTGTTGCTACTGAGACTCCATAAAGCTTAGATGACACACTTTTTTGGAGCTATTCAGTTTCTTTCATGTGTTGACCATTTATTTTAATGCATCAAACTCTTCTCATATGAATACAACAGGCCAGAAAGCACACACCGTCTGCTTCCTTTGGCTATCCCATGCATATGGTAAATATAACAACATTTGATAAGAGTCATTGAATTCTCTGAAATATCACAGAATTGTATATTGTGCACAGGCCAGTCCCCTCAGAAGCCTGATGCATGCTGGGTAAGACATTTGACTGTAATCAGAGAAGGTGTCCCTTAATCACTCACTCTCCATAGGACCATGCATATGTTCTCCTAAATGACTTTATCCCACTGTTACTCTAATTTGAAATTTTCTTTTTTCAGCCACATAAATAGAAGAACACAGTTTGAAAACCCTGTCCTGGAAGCAAAAAGGAAGCTACAACAGCATAACATGCCCCACACAGAACTTGGAACAAAGCCCCTGCAGGCCCCAGGTTTCCGAGGTATGGTATCTGGCATTATGCAGGGATGCAAGGGAAACGTTGTCCCAGAGACGGTTTGCTCTTCCAGACAGATATGCCGGTAGGAGGGCATGCCTGAGAAAAATACCTGGTTCGACTTCTCTAGACTCTCCCAGTAGCTCCATCATTATTTTTAAACTAATGCATTTAGCTACCACAAACTATGCTGAGGCCACTGGGCAGTGCCTTATAGGACCTGTACGTTGCCAGGTGGGACATTGATAGTGGGACAATAAACTGCAAAGAGTCTCCAAAAAATCAAGCATGGGAGTGAGGCTTGTTTTCCTTTGTGACAGTAGGCCACTCATCGGCGACATTACCTAGGCCCAAATCCATCTTCCCCCGTACTGACCCGGAGAGGTCCCGCAGTGTGAATGACTTGTCTCACTATCTGCTGGACCACAGAGGGACGCCCTGGCCACTCGGTATGTCTCAGGGCTGCTTGTGGACCTGACTACTGCTGGGAGCCACCTAGTGGGATGAGTGACTGCACACTTTCCCCTCTTCTGCGCTTCTACTAAATCAAAAAAAGAATGAACACAAGAGAGGCTTTGGTGTCCAGAGCCAACATTTGCCTGGAAGTGAGGTTCACGTCACATGAGCACTCTGCCATGAATGTAAAGGTCTCATATGGAGCTAAGCTCCACCTGTAAGCCCTGCTTTGATGAACATAGCAGAGAAAATTCTATGTGGGGGTTCTATAAATTGCATTTTAAAGTTTAATAAAGATAATATGCAGAAGGTAAATGGACTGATAAATTAAAACTCCATCATAATGACTTATTGTTCATCCTATGAAGCAAAAAAAAAAAATGTAACAATAGAGTATCATGCAAAGTATGTAGCTGATTTCCCACTTACAGTTTGGCTACTGTGCATATCAGATCATACCACCTTCAAAAAGGATATGAGATGCTTATCCACAAAGCTGAGGGTGGTAGTACATGTAATCTTAGCACATGGGAGACTGAGGCAGGAGGACCAAGAGTCCAAGGCCAACTGGATTACAGAGCAAGACCTGTCCTAACAAAGTAATTAGAATAAAATATTTAAAGCCTCGTGGTCTACCAACTGAGCTAGCCAAGCCAAGTAAAATACTTCACAGATGAAATTTAAGAAATAATTAATTCTACTTCTTCATATGACGATAATTTTAAAGCAGTAAATGTGCTTGAAACCATATTTATTAGAACTCATAGTTGGAAAAGTCCATCATACAACAAATGAGTGGCCAAACTTGGGTTCAAATACTATTTAGATTATTTGGGCATATGATTTGAATATGTCAACAAATTACAAAATGTGTCACCTTTACATTCATAACCATCTAGAAATGTTGGCTTGCTGTTTGCTCACTGGGCAGTGGAGATGTATCTGATTGAATTTATAACATCTCACAGCATAGATGTATAAACAAAAATTAACTCAGTCCCACATCCAGGTATGCTCTCTAAGCAGTTTTGACCTTTAAGTATACACCCAAAGTGTGCTGCTTCTCTACTGGTGTGATCTGCACCTGTTTAATGTCCTTAAACCAGTCTATTTGATTTTCTACCCCATGCAATCAAGGTTCTGTGCAGGAGCAGCTACTCACACACCCCTCCTCCCTGAGAACTCTCATGACTGGAGAGTTATAAGTCAGTTGTTATTTGAAGCTTTCTTGCCAGTTGGCATTGCCCTTTTTAACCTCAAGGGCTGATTTCAAGAAAGCACATACTGATAAGTCGCTCTACAACCATACAGCCTTTCATGATTCCCTGGATGCTTGGGACGGCTCTGTATTTGTAGGATGCTCTAATTGTCTGGCTCTTCTCACCAAGTGGCCACAAGCTTGCATCTACCATGTCAGTCTCCCACATTAGCGGTTGGTGCTGTCTGGTAACTTGTCTCAAAAATGTCTTTTCCGTTTTGACTTGTATTGGCCAACATAGAAAAGCCGCTCTTCACCCGGGATGCATCCCAGTTGAAGGGAACGTTCCTCAGCACCACCCTCAAGAAGAGCAACATGGGCTTTGGATTCACCATCATTGGTGGAGATGAGCCGGATGAGTTTCTCCAGGTGAAAAGTGTGATCCCGGATGGGCCTGCCGCACAGGATGGAAAAATGGAGACCGGTAAGCTCCCTGGAGCCAAGAATTGGCACAGTAGTGACTCCTCTGTAAACAGAACGTGGAGATTCCTCCGTGGTTTTAATTCCAAAGTCAAATGTCACTTTGATTTAGAAAAATGACAAGTCATATATGTTCCCTACTTTAGATTTTTGAGCTGAAATCACTTGTAAACAACATGGAGAGTCGATTTCTGCCTCACTTCTCAGACTGCCCCCTCTGTTGGTTGGTCCAACAGATTCGTGAAACTACCCTCTTCTGAGTTATTTCACACTCCTTGGGAATGAGATCAACATCTCACACTTTGCTAACTTATATTCAGTCACTGATATTTTTAAGCCTGTACTAATCCTTCAATATTCATATGCTAAATTGCTCAGGTTAGATATTTAAGTGTGCATACACATCTCATAGAGAAAAAATTTTAATAACATTACTTTTTATATGTACCTATACAATTTTTTAATATATGGGTTTTCCTAGTCATTATCACTTAATTTTCATATATAAGTACTTGGGTGTCTATCTAAATAATATCTGAAATTGATTTCACATGGAAATAAAGACCCAGATTGTTAAGTACAGAAAAAAACAAAATATGCAAAGTCCCCAGAGTAGAAAAAAAAAGTAATGAAGTAGGTCTAATTTAAGTCTGATTTGTGATTCTCTTACCTAACCCATGACTTTGAATGAGTTCCATAATTTACAAATAGTCATTTCCTGCTGTGAGAAAAAAATAAAGAAATTAAATTTGATCATCTGTTTATAAAATGCTTAATCATTTTTATGGTCTTATTTTTAAATCCCTTTAGATAGTATTAAAAGTATTGTAATTATACCTGCAAAGAAATATAGTCTATCACCATTTTTGCATTTTTTTTCACATTGATTCAATTAACGATCTCAGTTTTCTGAGTGGATCCTGTGAGATGCACAAGTTAGAGAACTATGTTAGACAAGTTCTATCACTGCTATGATTATATATTTATAAATTGAATTGTTTCCATGAGTCCAAAAGGTATTTATATGTGGAGAGAAAACATAAAATCAAAGTCTTCATTTGAAATTGCTTATTTTTTTTTTTTTTTTTGGTTTTTCAAGACAGGGTTTCTCTGTGTAGCTTTGCGCCTTTCCTGGGACTCACTTGGTAGCCCAGGCTGGCCTCGAACTCACAGAGATCCGCCTGGCCTCTGCCTCCCGAGTGCTGGGATTAAAGGCGTGTGCCACCCACCGCCCGGCTGAAATTGCTTATTTTTAAAGTGCCCAAAGCTTTAGAATTATTTGTTAGTTTCTTTATACCTGTCATTTTCCAAGATTCCTATGTGAGTACATATTTCAGTAGCACTCACTAGCAGGGAATAATGTGTACAATGCACATTGGGGTCTCCGTGAAGATGTTAGACCCTTCACACTATGCTCAAACTGTCAAAACTTGGGGTGTGGGCCCTAGTAGGTTAACCCACACTGCAGTGGATGGCCATATATACAGAAGCACATGGACAGCCCAAATTGGACTTGATGGTTTTCTTTTTAAAGTTGGAAAGGTAAATGGGGCATTTCTGGGAGGAATCATCAGAGAAGGGTGATATGGTGAAATACACTGTGTGTGAATTTAAAAAATCTTTGAACTTCAAAACTCATCACATTTTGAAAACACAATTGTTTTAAAAATCGTGTGTACATAATTTTCTACAAGAGTTAGTGTCCAGCACCATAGCTTATCTAGAGAGTTAGAAGGCATCCGCACTTCCACACTGCCCTCCAAAAACCATAACCACTATAACTCAGTGAAAAATGCTCTTACAGTCTGCAGTTAGGACAAAAGCAAGTTATGGGATTCATATTGCTTTAATAGAAAAAGGATCCCCAGGGCTCTTGAACTTCTGCAAAATACTTGATAGATCCACTTTTTCCAAGATAAAGAACCTAATTACTTTTCTATGATCTATCCCAGAATTCCTGTTTCCAAGTTAGAAAAGACTTCTGGAAAGTAGAAAACAAAATGCAGCATTTGTATAGCAAGTCTCTTCCTTCTCCTCCCTGTTTCTCTAGTTTGCCATACCCCATGGGCCAAGACTCATTCCACTGCAAAACCAAAGCTTTATCTAGAATTTAGCACATTTTGTTCATTAAAAACAAAACAAAACAAATCAGCTATGACTAGAGAAGAAAGAACCAGAGTCCTATGTCTGCTCAGAGTCTCCTATTTAGCCTGATCTACGTGCATTTAACAGACCCCTCCAGCCTCTCCGTTCTTGTCATTGCAATGCACCAGGGCTAGAAAGATGGGAATAACAGGACCTCATTTCCAGGTAGCTTACAGCTAGAAGGGACTTTGGACACACTGATAAACTACTAGAACACAGTGTGATGAGGCTACAATATCCTTAATGTTGAAACAAAATCAGGAGTGGGGGAAATAAATAACAAGAATTTTTAAAAAGGAATGTGCTGCATAATTTTATTAGAACTTTAGAGGGATGGTAATTTCCTTTATTAGAAAAGAATTTAGTTAAACAAAATATAATGCTTTTTAAATATTCAAAAATATATATTTACATCTAATTACAAGATAATTTTAACATATGTAAGTGTATTTCTATGAAATTGAACAGGTTGTGATAGAAAGAATTGCTCTTTAATTCAGCAAATATTTAGTGAAGGTCTGTGCATGCCAAACATTCTGCTAATTAATAAGGATGCAAAATAGAAAGACAAATGCTTCTATCCCTACAAAATTTGCAGTGTAAACAGAAATAATGAGTGATATGTTGGTGGATGTTTATATCAATGCAATAATAAAAATGCATACCTAAATAATTAAATGGTACAGAAGAAGAAGGTGTCAGCTTTGGAAAAAGAAGTTCTCCTAATGTTCTGAGAAATCCTCTCATGATGATGGTTTTAAAAGATGAATAGATGTTTGCTGGCTGGACGAGTGAGAAGAGCTGTTGGAAGGCACATATATGCAAAAAAGTATTGGGAAAGACTGAGAGGTCTGCAAGCCATCAGTGAATGTTAGTGAGTCTTCCTGGGTGTACATTTGTGATGAACTTTAGAGTCACAAGTGAGAAAGATTGACTACACTTACAAAGATTAACTTACACCAAAAAACTGTAGATAATCATATATCCTAAAGTTCTAAAAGATCATAGGATGTATATATCTTTACCTAAACTTCTCTGAAATAAATTTTCAACCACTTAAGCACAGAGCCTTATTCTGTGGCTAACATTGTTCAGATATGTATCTGTAAATCTAACAAACTGCTGGTAAATAACAGGTATTCACTTTGGTTTGTTTTATTCTGAGAAACCAAACCCAGGGCTTTGTATATGCTAGGCAGGTGCTATCTGCAGAGGCAGGTTTAAGTACTGGAAGGATGGATGGATGGATGGATGGATGGATGGATGGATGGATGGATAATGGTTAGATGATGTTATAAATGAAGAAATGCCATTTGAATTTTGAATACCTATTTTGTAATAGAGCCTAGGCAATGATGTTGAGTAAGGTAACTCACCACAAAAGCAAAATTAAACCCAGTTTTGATCTTCTACATGACATGGCATAAACAAGTATATTAGAGACCAAATTATTCTATTTTAAAAAAATATATATTAAACATTAAAAATAACAAAAACAAACATTATAGAGATTAGAGGAAAATCACTGATGTTTAAAATGAGTGGTCTTATTTGATATTGAAATAAACATGGCAATATTTTATTCAACATTTTTAGTTTTGGTTACATCTAGTTTAGGGAAATATGTCAGTAGCTTGTGTGGACACAAGAAAAACAACTGTATGAAAATGTTTCCCCAAGGTTCTGCACCAGAGCAAAAAGGGTGAGCAGGGAAATCTTTCTTAGTTGGCAATGACTTCTGGCAAGGAGTAGAGGACCGGCAAAAAGGAGGGTAGCACCCCTCTGGCTGCTTTTTGACAACTGAGCCTGTTCCCAGTGGTTCCATAATGTTCGAGAAGCTTTCTCAAAACACATTACTGTAATGCCCAAGAACCATGTAATATTGACTATTAAGTATTCTACACATTCTGGAAATCAGGTACCACAGACCCTGTTAATGTCCTTTAAAGTATTTTATTATCTTTGTGTCCTAAGAGAGCACTCTTTAAAGTATTCTAAAAATCAAATTTGATATAACCATAGCTCATAGAGGCCACAGAGTCTGAAAGGTATTTAGCTACCATCTCCTGTTGAAAAGCTTTCTCACTGCATGATGGTTTGTTGCCCCACCCCCAACCCCCAACCCCCAGCTAATGTTTGAATCAATTCTCTGTGGTTACCAGTATGTAGAGGGAAGAATGCTAGGCAACCCATGAGGTTCTCCTAGAGACCAGGGTAGAGTTATGAAGTCACAGTATTAGTTTTTTATTGACTCTCTTTACAGTATTTGTCTGTTTTATTAATAAGATCACAAACAAACACCCTGAAGGATGAGCGTGCTAGCATTCCTTAGTCCCTGGTCCTTCTTCATTTGAGTAGATCAGTTTTACAAGTTGTTACTTCAGTGTCTGTGGTTACAAAAGTAGGGGTACCCAACTAGTTTTGCCATCCTTTGGTAATGGGTGTGTGTGTGTGTTATGCACATATATATGTAGGTGCACATTTCAGAAGGTTGATATCAAAATGCCTTCCTCTGCAATGCTCCACCCCATCCCTTTTTTCTTTTAAGACAAGGTCTCTCACTGAACCTAGCTCTCACTAGTTCATCTAGACCAGCAGCCTACAAGCCCCAGGCATCCTCTTGTCTCACTTCCCAACACTGGGAAGGCCCACACTGCTATATTTGGCTCCTTATATGGGTTGGGAATCTGAATTCTAGTCTCATCCTTGGGCAGCAAGCAATCTAACCCACTGAACCATCTACACGATCTGTTTGGTAAGTCTTTTTAAATGAAGATTCTTATGCCCTCAGACCTGCTGCTTCCAGATCCCAAGAAATGCTATTTGGAATGTATATTTACATCCTTATAATTTTGTCAA